ATGTGAAAATTCAGCTCAATTTTTGATATTGTAAAAAGCATTCAAATGAAATATAACTTGAAATTTGTATTTCCAACGTTTAAAATCCCGTACTGCGTGGTATTTAGTTTTGTCCACCTCATACTTGAAGGAGGAATGTTGTCAGAATAGCCAAAAAATTACTCTTTTGCTCCGATTACCGTAAGATGGGCATTAATTGTTTTTCATTTAAATTGTGCGGTGGAGATTCAATAAAGTTACTTTATAATTTCGTATTTTTTTCATGTTTCTGCCACAATTTCCGACTGAATGAGTCCCAGATTGAAATTTCGGAGTTTATTTCATATAGACGTACATCCCAAACCTACGTTCCCAACCAATATTCTCTTGGGGGTTATAAATTCAATAGAATACCAAATTTTCTTTTCTGACCACACATTGGTTGGGAAAGTGGACTTGGGGAAATACTAATGTGGGGACTATACTTATCCGTAAGATGATTTTCTACTCCAGGGTTTTTCACCCCAGGTAGCCTCAAGACTAAGATGCGCCCTTTTCCGAAAAATAAAAATTTTATAAGAGGTTTTCTTCCCCCCTAGAAACAAAGATGTAAGGGCCAAAAAACGTGAAAAAAGTAGCCAAGACCCCGAAAATAACTTAAATCATATGATGGTGATACCAAAACGTGATCATTTTTTGCAAAGATGGTTTCTTCTTAAATTATCAACATAAGCTAAAATTAATACGAAAATATGGTTAAAATGTAGAATATACTTGAAATCGGGTTGTTCCGTTAGCGGGGGTTATGACCCATATCATGACCTGTCAAAGCGATTAAAGGTATCTTGAATGTTTAGGAAGAATTTCTATTTTGCGTCCTTTATAGTCGGTATTTGGCTGATTTTGCATTTTGTGTTCTCATTTGACAATTTATTGTCATTTGAAAGAAGCAGGTCCACTTTTTGAAATGAACCCCATAACGTTTTTTTCGGTCATTTTTGTTTGTTTAAATGTGTGCATCTTCCAGCTGAAGCACGATGTAGGTCCTGGAGTAGAAAGCATTTAACACCGCATGCGCCCTCATTTCGTTTTTAATATTATTCATTCAGAATTCAAAACAATAAAAAACTGTACACTTCAATATAGAAAAAAGAAAAACAATCTTCAACTGGTTCGCTAATTTTTTTGCGGCAAATTTTTAAAGGTACTTACGAAGTTTGTCGGTAGAATGTACTATTCTTTTGAAATTCGATTCCATTGAAAAATTTTCGATTTTTCCCAATTTTAGAATTTTCACATAAAGCGACAACGGATAAAACTGTTATTTATAGATTTTATGTATTTATTGGGTAATACGAATAAATACATAAAATCTATAAATAACAGTTTTATTCGTTGTGGCTTTATACTACCCAAAAAAACCTACACATCATATTAGAATTCCAAAAAAATATGCAATATAAAACATTACTATTGTACATTTTAAAAGTCAAAATGAAAATGTTCAAATTTCACATTTTAAGCGATTTTTTTAGATTTTATTCTTTTCTGCCAAGAGGCAATTCCGAATTTGTCTGAATCGTTAAAATCAGACCGGCGGTCTTTATGTTATAAGCGTAGTAATTAACACAACTTTCTTTACATATAGAGAAATAGACTTAAAAGTAGGCGCGTTCCTTAACCCTTAAATAAATAGTTAGGGTTGGATGGAAAGCCAACAGCACTATTTTGACAAATATAAAGATTTTAGATAAATCGTAATAGTGGGCGTAAAAGGAGGCGTGGTCAATATTTTTTTCATTAAAAACCTAACTCGGGGTATGACGAACGTTTGTACAAAAAATTATGCAAATCGGTCCAGCCGTTTTCAACTGATTCCGTTACCAACAAACAGCAATTGATTTATATATATATATATATATATATATATATATATATATATATATATATATATATATATATATATATATATATATATATATATATATATATATATATATATATATATATATATATATATATATATATATATATATATATATCTGGCCCGGTCCGCGTTGCCGGCCCGTAGTTTTAGTCTTTAGTGCATTGTTTTTAAAGCATAATTATTTTCAGCCAGAGGTATTAATTTGAGAGTTTACAACCTAGAAAAATTGATGATATGTATTCAAATTAACTTTTTTTAATAGCCCTCTACCCCCCAAATTAGCCTAAACACACATATTAAGCCAAATCGATTCGAAAATATAATCAAAATAATTTACACGAAGAGGTCTTCTACCCCCTTAGAAGATAAGATCAATTGAAAAATGGGACCAAGTCGCTGGAAATAGCGGAAATCAGCGGATGTCTTCATATAAGGGTTATACCAAAGCATGGTCCTATTCTTATAATTATTTGAAAGAATGTGTTGTTCTTCCTAAAATCTCAAATAACCTACATTTGAGGAATTTGAAAGGGGCTACACCATTTGAGGGACTACATCAATTTAGACCGACCTGAAACATATTTTGTACAACTGATACTTCATGACACCCTGGACTGTATCAAATTTGAAACTCTATTGTAACTTTTGTGAACTTTTTTGCTATATAAAATGGACCCTAAAAACGTTTGACCCGAAACCCCTTTAAGGGATTTTTATCTATTAACCAAACAATTTTCCAAGTGTAATAATCCGCAGTGTAATTACTGACGATAGCGCACAGTCACCGTATAACGTTACATTTTACACGTTACATTTTCCGAGGATATAAATCCTCTTTCTAAATTTTCTATTTGCTCCACTATTTTCTATAGTCCGCTTATAACAGTGCTCTTCATATTCGGTATTTCACTGATTGCAGTACCAATGAATCTTGCATTTTAAGTTCTCATTTGATGGATTATTTCCATATCTAGTCAATTTCTTGCAGTTTTGGACTTCAGAATCGATAGTAATTCCTAAATTGAAATTCTGACAATATGACTTTAATTTAACTATCAAAATTAAAGTTTCATCGATTTATAAAAGTTAGGGACCCCATAAAGTATGTTAAAAAGTTTGAAATCTTTGTTGATTAAATTATGTCCGTGAGCCTCTTCATTCACCATTTGCAATTACGATAGAGGTCACCAAATTTAATATGCGTCTTTCAGTCTAAGCACATATTATTCTTAAGATTATTGATGTTACAAAAGTTACATATTTGTTCTCATTTCACCAAATGGGCTTTAAATTTTATGTATTTTGAAGGGTTCAAATCATTTTTGAAGTTATAAATCATTTCTCAGAAAATTACAACAAAAGTCCACTTTATGATTTATTTTGTATTCCCCAGTACCTCTTTATATTCGTTATATCATCGTATTTAATTAAATTTTCAATTCTCAATTATCAGTATTATAAAGGACTTAGCAATATTTTCCAAGTCAAAAGTAATTTTAGAATTCGTAACTTTTAGAAGATCGTGTTATAAGGTATTTAGTTTTTACCAGTCGATTAAACTATATCTGTCTGTGTTTGCGGGCGTACGTTGTAATCGCAATAAAGGCGAAATATTTAGTTTAATCTTTGAACTACAATATTCCTAGTAAGTTAGAATATATCTGTTCCGTTTAGGTATAATAATACAACAAAAAAATCGTCATTTTGCATGTTTTTGTTACAATTTCTACCGAATTATCTGTAACTTTTTTTTCGTTTTCGGTATTGTGAAATCAATACCGGAAATATCTGGCTACTATTGGTTCCCCATTAGGCATAGCCTCAATTTAAAAGTACGTTGAGATTATTAATGTTTTGATGCTTTGAAAAGTATTTTTAGTCAAAATTGAAAATTTTGGTTTGTCAACCATATAACAGCATGTATAGAAGATATGCAAACTTTTTTCGATTTTTTCGATTTTTTAAATTCCAAAAGGCATTTTGAAACAATTCTACACAAAACTCCATATCAACATATAAGTCAATTTTTTCAGTCCCGCGATTTTTATAGAGGTTTTTTTCAACGTTTTCTTTCATGAAAACGTTTCCACTGTAATTACAAATAACCAACAGATTTGAGTCAAATCGGCCCAGCCGTTCTTAACTAATGTGTTACTATACTTTTTTTAAATTTTTTACATACAGATTTAAAGAAGTAGGTGTGGGCAGTACCTCTGACCACAAATATATACCTAAGGTTGGAGGGAGAGTCAAGATTACGTCATATACTAACTGTGGAACAGATATCTTCATGATTATGGCAAATATTAGGATTTCAGGTAAATTAAAAAAGGGCGTAAAATATATATGTATATATATATATATATATATATATATCAATTGTTGTACGTTGGTAATGGAATCAGTTGAGAACGGCTGGATCGATTTGCATAATTTTTTGTACAAACGTTCGTCATAGCCCGAGTTAGGTTTTTTTAGAGAAAAAAATATTGACCACGCCTACATTTACGCCGACTATTTCGATTCATCTAAAATCTTTATATAAAGACATCGGCTTGACAATTATTATATGAGATACTGTTGACCTTCCATCCAGTCTTAAGTATTTATTTGAGCGCTGGGGAGCTGGCCACGTCTACTTTTTAATCTATATATATATATATATATATATATATATATATATATATATATATATATATATATATATATATATATATATATATATCAATTGTTGTACGTTGGTAATGGAATCAGTTGAGAACGGCTGGACCGATTTGCATAATTTTAAAAAAAATTTATTCGTAAAAATTGGTTTTTTGTAAACCTATGCATTTCTACAAGAGAAATTTGCTCAGTAAACACTTTGAGTTTGCGGAATAGCTGTTTTCTTGTTGGTGTTTTTTTCTGTACATGTTTAAAATATATTCCCTCTAGAGAATAAAAACAACTAGTATTTACTCTCAGTAACTTAATTGTTGTGATAAAAATATTATTGACTGCAACATTTCTTATTCCTTAACCTGTGAAATCATCGTCAGGATAAAAAATATCGCATAGTAATAATGATTTAATAAATATTGCCTAATATATTTACCTTTATTGGAGAATGCGTTGCTTCAGGAAAATTAACATTTTGTGTATTTAAGTTGGAAGATAAAACAGAAGAAAATTTTTTGTCACTGTCTTTTTCCTTAATTTCAGCTCCGTTCCCTTCTTTAGAATTTACTGCAGATATTGGGGACGAATCGGGTTTAATAACTGCATTAAGTTTAGATTTCTCTCGTAGTTCCTCATCTGATTCTACATCTTCTGGATCTAATTTCAACATAAGTTGCTTAAACTAAAATATATACATTTATAGATTTTGCTAGTACACAAATACAAGTATTATACGTACATCTAGGTATTTGAGAACAATATCCATTTTTTCTTGGTCATTAAGAAGATTTGTGTGTATTTCTTCTGAATCCAATGAATATTTTTGTTCATGTTGTTTCCTTATAACATCTATTGTTGTAATTGGATTAAAATCTGGGACGTTCTTACGCGTAACAGCTTTTTCGTGAATTTTTGTTTCTGACGGCGAATATCGAGATATTTTACTATCAGTTATGCTATACATATCTTTCAGGTGTTCTTTCAAAATTAATAGTAACATACAAGCTTGGGCAGATGTTATGCATCTTTGTATTTCAAGTGTATCTTCCGGAAGTCTCTTAAATAGTATTTCCGGATCTTCTTCGTCATCGTCATCCTCTAGAATATCGTGAGTCCTTTCACTTGGCTTTAAGCATTCTTTAAATGTTGCCAATATATTGGTTCCAGCCATAGATATTAGCAAATCAATTTGATGAATTAAGTACAGAGGCTCGTCCTGGACGACGTACGGGAAATAAGCTAAATTGTCTGCTATGTACAGCATTTGACGAAGTGTTGTTTTCTGATCATCAAATTGTTTGGTGACTGTTTGGACTAACGCTCTTCTTTGGGGTTTAGTTGATCGCAAAAGTGTGTATAAGAAATCATTTAAAGCGGTAGGTAACACATCACTTTCTCGTTTCCTAAAATATATAAAAAACAATTTTTTTATTTTTCATTAACAAATATACACATTGACAAAATATACATGTATAAGATTTTGTTATTGTTCTTTATTTTGCAATGTTCTTAGAAGCATTTGAGTAACATCGTTCGTTTTTAGATTAAAGTAAAAGAGTTTACACATTCATACGACACGATTCGTACTAGGGACGTTCACAGTTCTAACTGAATGCACCAGTTTTGACATTTCTTAGCATTGAGTGAGTATAATGTAGTTTCTGTTATTGAAAAATTTAGTTACTTCCTGCAAATATTTGGAAGTGAGTCACTCACTCCCTTTTTAAGATGCCTCTTCTGCGACGCTTCTAATCCTAATAAATGCGGTAGTATGTACATTTACAATAGCAAAACTACTGTTTCTATCGTCATGCCTCAAGGCACACATTTGATCGTTTTTCAAGAATTTCACTTGATTATTCCCGAATTTTTCGATGTCATAACAAATTAAAAAAACAAATTGTAGATAGCTTTTGTAGGAAAATATGAATATTTTGGGGTAATCTTTAACGTTTTTTAATAATTTTGCTAACATAAAACAAAAGGGAGATTTTGTTTACGTGCTCTTTAGTTTCTCTCACACACACAAGCGCAATGTTCATTTTGTGCATCCCTGGTCTATATCTTCATTTGTCTATGCCAATAGTAACTATTTATACTTTTTCGTCCGAGGCTGCCCATAGCTGCAATAGTTACATGGTATCAGAGTTGCCATATGTGGCGATTTATAAAGCGACCTAATTTTTAATTTGGCGACATGGTGTTTTTGCGGGTTATAGAATTCGTCGGCGATTTGTAGAAAATTACATTTTTTTGGTGTAAATACTTGGTTCAATTTGAAATAGATAAGCACAAAAACTAAAAAATTGAAGAAGTTATAGATGAACTGAGAACTGCCATTGACAAATCCAAAAAATTATCGGAACTTTAAGGTGTGTACAATTATCATAATTCAGATTGCCCTATTATAATTTAGGTTGTCCGAGATTTATAAAGTGAAATGAATATTTTAACTATGAAACTGAAAACAACATAAATGAAACTGAAAATAAAATAAAACTGAAAACAGTCACAATTGATCTCAAATAGATTTAAATAATAAGTTATATTTAGATAAAAGAAATTATAAAAAAAACTAGATGCGGTGTAAATTTTGACACAAACTTTTATTGATTTGGCAATGGCAGTAGAAAAAATCTGACAACCCTGCATGGTACTTCTCTGTTATATCTGTTATGTTGATACTAACAGTTAGACTTTGATTCGTACTTGATATGTATGTAAACTCTATATTCTTGCATTTAAAATATTCGACAAAAAATCATGAGTTGGATCCAAGGGACAGTCATTTAAAATAGGTTACTTTTAGCTACATCCGCCATGATTTTTTCACAAACTTTATACATGATCTGACCAATTATTTGCCATGAGTGATTTTCCTCAATGACTTGTCATGTCTTTTCCACAAATAATTAGTCATTGTATTTTTACCAATGCTTTTAGTTAATATTTTGTCGGTGCTTAATAACTGTATTATATGATCCCATTATTAAAAACCATTTTAAACTCTTTCCAGTGTTGGATATTTTATTTATGTACATAACATTTGGATTTGTGGAAAACAGACATTGAGATTCTTCCAAACACAAAGCCAAGACAAGCATAAAGGCAGATTTAGCTTTGTATTTGCAAAATATGCATAGGAATCAAATACAAATTTGAATTAGCATTATTTGAAAGACATATACATAATTTTCCCGAATAGAGTAGCTGTTCAGTTTTGAAACATTTTGTCAAACACAAACTCTTTTATCGGCTTACTACTATCAAATACTTTTGGAGATAAACAATTGTTCATCCAATTGTAGCGTCGGGAACAAACGCGAGATACACATTTAGGTAAAGTAAACAAGTAATTTTAAGTAAATTTAAAGTAATTTAACCATTGTAATGACGCAAGATGCTGAAAAGAAACTTAATACATTAAAACCAAATATTAAAGATTTACATATTTTTCTTATCACATCAAAATTGTCCATTAACGCGCTAAAACAGAAACGACTCAACAAATTTAAATTTAACAATTCAAAAGAACCCATGAAGGAACTCATTAGCATGTAACCACTTCCAAAAAAAAAAAAAAATGGTACAACAAAGTTATAGAACTCATCACATTAGTTGATCATCCAGAAAAGACGCAATAATCGAAAGCAGAATAGCTTTCGAAAAATCTAGTATTCTTAGTGGAAAACTCCCGAAATTCCGATAAAAACGCGAACATATACATGTCATCGCATGTTGTTAGTTACACGCGTATAACTTCACAAGGGCTTGGACTAATTGTGATAATTCACTCCAAATACGAATTCAAAATTGTAGCCCATTTGACTGGATAACGCTGTATATACGTGTACTTTTGTACCTTTTTATAGAAAAAGTAACAGTCATATTGCCGGAAAATGTGTTCAGGCCTTTCAAAGCAGTTACAATGACCGGGAAAATTTTTGTAGCTGCTGTTTATTTCGATTCAGAAATGTCAACCGACTCGGTGGGCGAAGCATTCAAATAACAGAAAATATATACTAAGAAGGAACATTTATTGGTAACACATTTTCATTTATCCATGAAAGGCGGAAATTTGATGGGATGCTTCAAATGGAAATGTCATAGGTTTGCAATTTATATGGTGTAGACAAGTCAATTTAATCCAAAGTGAAAAATATTTTTAAAGAACATAAAACAAGTAAAAAAGACATTGACTTCTTAATTTCTTCTTCTTGCTTAATTTCCCCGCACCATTAGGTAAAAAATAGGAAAAGTTGGACGTATATACAAAGTTGAACACTAAATCTTGAAATCTAAATCGTGAAGAAAAAGTAGGTAAAATTAACAAAATGCCGAATAACTTTAATTCATAGTTTTTAAGGCATAATAATTCACAAATCTGTCTCATCCACAAGGATGAAAGGGGCTTAATCAATCGAGTTATCATTTATACTAAAAATTGTGCCACTTATGTAAGCCAGATTTGTGAATTATTATGCTTTATAAATTATGCATTAAAGACTAAAACTACGGGCCGGCAACGCGGCAACTCGTGACCACTCTTTCGAGCTTGGCACTTTGCATATTCGGCAAAGAAATTTGAACCGCCGATGATTTCATGGCCTCTCTACAACGCTGGACATACTTTTATGGACGAATAACTTTACTCTCTGTGTTCCAAAGAATATTTTTGGTATGATGGTGTAAGAGTACATCATGTTGCAACCTTGCAAGATCGACATAATTTAAACGAAGAGAAGAAGACGATACTGATGAGCGGAAAATGTTCTTGTACAAACGTCGTAGCGCACACGCGCATTCTATTTAATAATCTTTTATGTTTTCACATCACATATTTATTTCACCTTATTTGTGTTACGTTAAAATAAATTAAAGCTATAAGTGTTCATGTTTAATAAAATATAATTCCTGACAATACGATTTCACATATTATCCTCTTTAATCTTTTACTTCAGAAGTGGGATTATAATATCCAAATGTCATAAAAACGCTTACGGTTCGTGGAAATAATAAAATACAAATGTGTTGTGTTCCATTAGAAAAAACGGTGTACAAATAAATATGTTCTAATAAGAAATGTCCCAGCAAGCAAAATCTATCCCCCAAATCACTTAGAAGTCACGCCTAAGCGATTGAAATCATCGCGTCTGATATCGCTTTCTCACCCTGGAAGGATCATCCTTCGGGAAGAGATGAACCACGCCCGCGATAGTTTTCTAAAAATCGTGGAAGTCACTTCGTCGATAGTTATTGGAAGTGAAAAAAAAAACAAAAAAACAATAAAAAATTTTTTCTCCTAACTTAAGCATTTATTATTTTTTTATTGTTATTGTTACATTTTCCAATGTTCATTTGCATAGAACTATTACTTATTAGATGAAATGCTCAAACATTTTTTTTCGTTTTAAAAATGTGATGTCTGGAGTGGGAATCAAACCGAGGTGTTCAGAGAGCAAAGCCGGCATGCTCACCACTGCGCCACAGTGTCTTATATTCCTTAGATAGAATAAAGTCTTATTTATGTTCAATTCGTAAATGATGGCAAACTATCACTGTTTTATCCGATGGTAGGCACTAGATAGTGTCTGCACACGCGACACCTTCGTTTAACTTTCTTGACGCCACTAAGTAGTAACTACGTGACGATAGGATTAGAAGCGTCGCAGAAGTGGCATCTTAAAATGGAAGTAAGTCACACACTTCCAAATGCTTGCTGGGGTAAAACGTATAAACGCATTGATACACATCAACACATTGGTCGATACTACATACGTAAATACCCTGCAAGCATTTGGATGTGAGTTTTTAACTCCATCACCTAATATTACACTACTTTGTCGCTTCCTTCTTGTGAAACGTCGATAGTTGGTCGATTTGCAATAACAGTTCTATTGCCCCACTACAGTCAACAAAAGTTCATCTCCAATAGTAACTTTTACGGCACTTCCCGTAGATTAAAGAGCGAGTGTTTTGTTTTACTCCCAAAACGGAGAACAAAATTAAACGAGTCGAATCTTTAACCAAAAAGGTAAACCGTTAGGGAAGAAATGAACCACGATCTCGTTACTTCCATAAATTACCTTTATTGTAACGACTGAACGTTACTTAGTCGTCAATTTCATCTGTCACTAAAAAGTCAATGTTAAGAAGTAACGAGTGCGTGGTTCATTTCTTCCCGAACGGTTTAACTTTTTGGTTAAAGATTCGAGATCGCCGGCGAGGGTTTTCATCGCCTGTTGGTGACTTTTTGGGTATGTATTCAAATTATTGTGAACATACATATGAGAAAGATAGAAACGTTTAAGAACATCAAAATGTGATTGATTGTATGCCTACGTGAGGAATGTAAAGTAACGGGATAACGATTTGGAACTATTTTAAAAGGAAAGAGAGGATA